CAACTTCTTATCCTGCACCTCTTGCCTGAGCTTGCTGCGCCGCTGCCATTTCGCGCTGAAGCGTTTGACGGGCCGCTCCTGCCCACGCGGCGCCCACAGCAGGATCGGTGGCCGTCTTGCCTAACCAGAAATCTCGCAGACTGACTCTCTCTCCCCTTCTATGTATATGTTAGTTTGTATGTCTCTCTCTCTCTCTCTCGTCGCTCTCCTTATGTATATAAATCGTTATTAGTAATATTATGTATATTCGATGATATTGTTGTTCTCTCTCTATATATATCTCTCTCTCTCTCTCTCTCCCCCCCTTTCTCTCTCTCTTTCTCTATCTCTCTCGATCGCTCTTTCCCCCGAGGGGGTGGTGAAGGGCCCCCCGCATCGTTTGGCCGTCGTTCGCCGTGCGGGGTCGGTTCGTTCTCCCGCCGCCCAGCCTTGCAATCGTGGCTCTCGGGGCAAGGGATCGATGCGGCTCGAGACATGCTGCAAAGAGATGGGGCCGAGCGTTCCGCTCGTCATTTCCTCCCTCGACCCTCTGGATGGGTGCCCAGTTCACGTTCCCGCTGGGGGTCCCCAGGGGGGACCCCCGCAAAACAAAATAATAACCGACTTGCGGCCCGCGCCATAAGTGTTCGGCAGAATTCTGGCCAAAGTCCTGCCGCAGGCGCAGGACCGCCACGGGTCTATTCGTGTCCCCCGGGGGGCAGCAGGACGCGCCGAGAGGTTCGTTGGACAACCGCATGGCCGAAGGTGGCCCCAAGATGGCTTCCAGATGGTCCAGAAGAGCGAAATCCAGCCTCCGAAGACGGTCTTAGACCCTATAGTTCTGATTATCCAACCAATTTCAGCCGTGATCACCAGCAATAATTTCGAGCACCTGAACATTACTTTGGCGACGTACCCAACCCTTGCGCAATGCGTGGCATAAGTACATCAGGATTGCTAGAACGGGGACAATGACGTAACATGGACGCATGTGGTCTTGCGAGCAGCAATCGGAAGGCTCGCAGGCCCCCGATCAATCTATATATATATATATATATATATATATATATATATATGTATATATAAGGGCGTCGTAGTGGTTACTAACGCACCCCCCCCCCAGGGACGGCGAGGTCTCGCTCAGGTCCCCGCGGTGCCTCACTCCGCTGGACCCAGCAGCAGACCTCGAAACTTGCGGCCGTGACGCAGATCGCAGCCCCACCAGGGACGGCGAGGTCTCGCTCAGGTCCCCGCGGTGTTTCAGTCCGCTGGACCCAACAGCAACCCTCGAAAGTGGCGACGGTGTCGCAGATCGCAGCTCCCCAGAGACGGCGAGGTCTCGCTCAGGTCCCCGCGGTGCCTCAGTCCGCTCAGATTCACTTTTGCTTCATCCGAATTTAATTCCACCCGTTTAATTTCATCAGTTTACTTACATCCGTTTAATTTCATATATGTCTAATTTCATCCGGTTTAAGTTCGTTTGGGTTTACATTCATCCGCTTTTAATTCGCCAGGTTTAAGTTCATCCGGTTTTAATTCGTCCGGTTTAAATTCATCCAGTTATACTTTCCTATGTGGGCCAGTGTGTGGCCCGCATGGTCTATTTGATCCATTCAAACCTCCTCACGTTTTGATTCGTTCGGTTTAAATTCATCCGGTTTTAATTCGTCCGGTTTTAATTCCTCTGGTTTTAGTTCCTCCGGTATAAATTCATCCGGTTTTAATTCGTCCGGTTTGAATTCATCCGCTTTTAATTTGCCCAGTTTTAATTTGCCCAGTTTTAATTCCTCCGGTTTGAATTCATCCGTTTTAATGGCATCCGGTTTTAATTCGTCCGGTTTTAATTCGTCCGGTTTAAATTAATATGGTTTTCATTTGTCCGGTTTCAATTCATCCAGTTTTAATTTCGTCTGATTTGAAATCAGACGGTTTTAATTCACCGGTTTCAATTCATCCGGCGTTATGTTGTCTGGTTTAAATTCATCTTGGTTTCAGTCGTCCAGTATAAATTCATCCAGCTTATAAGTCGCCTTGGAGTTGGAATCGGTTGGGAGCCGGAGTCGGGAAGACGAGCGCCGGAGTCGGGAAGTTGCAGGTTGGAATTACAAAAATTTGCGAATGGATGGTAAGAAATGGGAATTGGATAATAACAAGGAGGGCCACAACATGATCGATCCACGAACCCTGAAAGGAATATGGACATGTAGCGCATGGCAACGTTTTCAAAGACACCTGATTGGGTGACGGGCAAATGCAATGCTGAGTGTATCGATCTTGATGTACCCTGCCGAGGGCTGTGCTGTGCTGCACCGTGCTAAATTGCGATGTGCCATGCCGCGATTGTGCTCTATAGCGTCTTGGATTGAGTCCTCCTTTGCATCCGAGTCCTGACCGAACTGATCTGGATCTTAAGCTCGAGCTGCCTGAACACATAGTAGCTGCCCCAGCGCTAATTGACAGGGGGACATGCCAGGAGGACGCGCCGCGAAACGTCCCAAGGGACGCGCCAGGCGACGTGCCAGGGGACGGGCCATGGGGTCGCACCGCGGGACGTGCCAAGGGGACGCGCTACGGCACGTGCCAATGGATGTGCCACGGGATGTGCAAGGGGACGCACCACGCGACGTGCCAGGGGGACTCGCCAAGGGACGCCCCATGGAACGTGCCAAGGAACATGCCAGGTTGCAATGCTGAGTGTCTCGATCTTGATGTACCCTGCCGAAGTCTGTGCTGTGCTGCACCGTGCTGAATTGCGATGTGCCATGCCCCGATTGTGCTCTACAGCGTCGTGGATCGAGTCCTCCTTTGCATCCGAGTCCTGACCGACCTGATCTGGATCTTAAGCTCGGGCTGCCTGAACACATAGTAACTGCCCCAGAGCTAATTGACAGGGGGGCATGCCAGGAGGACGCACCGCGAAACGTCTCAAGGGACGCGCCAAGCGACGTGCCAGGGGCCAGGGGACGTGCCATGGGGACGTACCGCGGGACGTGCCAAGGGGACGCGCTATGGCACGTGCCGGGGACAAGCGTTTCGCTCGAGGCATCCTGTCAAAATCTTCATGCTAGACATCCGCCTGAGCGACTTGGGCACATGAAAGTAAGCGTTTCGCTCAACACATCCTCAACACATTCTCATGCTAGACATCCGCCAGGGCGAACTGGATACGTGAAAACAAGTGGTTCGCTCGAGACATCCTCAACACATCTTCATGTGGGACGTCCGCCTGGGTGACCTGGGCACGTGAAAACAAGCGTTTCGCTCGAGACGTTTTCAACAGCTCCTCATTCTAGACATCCGCCTGGGCGAGCTGTACACGTGAAAGCAAGCGTCTCGCTCGAGACATCTTCAACACATCTTCATGTTAGACATCCGCCTGGGCGACCTTGACACGTGAAAACAAGCATTTCTCTCGAGACATCCTCAACACATCCGCATGCTAGGCATCCGCGCGGGCAACCTGGACACGTGCAAACAAGCATCTCGATCGAGACTTCCTCAACACATCCTCATGCTAGACATCCGCCTGGGCGACGAAGACGCGTGAAACCAAGCGTCTCGCTCGAGACATCCTCAACAAATCCTGGCGCTAGACCTCTGCCTGGGCAACCTGGAGGCGTGAAACCAAGCGTGTCGCTCGAGACATCCTCAAGACCTGGGCACGTGAAAATAAGCATTTCACTTGAGAGATCCTTTGAATTCTGGTCCCCAGGAGAGGAGAGTCTATTGCACAAAACAAGCGTTTCGCTCGAGACATCCTCAAAAATAATTCCGCCGGCCATAGGCGATCTTTTTATTTATCGCGAATAACTCCGCCGGCCCTACAGCCGTCGAAACCGGCGGTAAACCAACTAAAAGAGAATCTTGGGTCCACGCCTTTTCCAGGAAACAGCTCCATCTTGAACGACGGGAGCACAGCGCCGATCCGAGAAGGAGGCCCACGCTGCAGCGGGAACACCATTGTGAAACGCCGGAAACTATCGGATTGCATAACAAAGCTCCACGGTCTTTAAGCCAGCTCTACTGTCCACTGCTCCAGTCCCAGGGTGCGCGCGACGGCTCGCCTATTGCAAGTTGGCTTGAACGCTGCTCCTGGTTTTCGACTGGTCTCTCTGTCCTCGCTCCTCCTCCTTCTACTCCGCTCCTTCCTTCTGTCCTCCTCCCTCCTCCTCCTTCTTACTTGCGGACCATACTTCGTGACATTTTCGTTGCGTGTTGCCGTTCGTTGCCGTCTCTTTGGCTGTATTGGCCTATCCTCGATTTGAGGCCTTTGATGTTGGCGTTGCCCTTGTAGGGTAATCCACAGGTTCCGCCGCAACCGCTAGTTGTGCCTGGTGTGGTTAGGCTGCGAAGACAGGCGCTTAAGCGGACAGGAATCGTTTTTTCCCCCACTGCGTCTGGATTGCAGCATCAAAAAAACGTAAAACAACACTTGTTGACAGCCTCCATGTAAAATACACTTCGCGGGGTGGGAGATCGATCTTACGCAAAACCTCGATGGAGGAAAAAATTAGCACCCATATTGTTTGATTGTGGAGGGATGAAAGAGGAGGAGGGACAACCAGAAAAGAAATGAAAGGGGGATGTAGGGCAGCAGAACGGATTCACCGATGTTTGAACCGAAATTAATTTCATCCGTTTAAATTCACCCGTTTAATTTCATCCGTATCATTCCATCAGTTTTAATCAGTCCGGTGAAAATCTTTCCGGTGAAAACTCATCCGGTTTAAATTCGCCCTGGTTTAAAATCATCCGGTTTGAATTCCCCCAGCTTGAACTCATCAGAGTTTAATCCGTCTGGTTTAAATTCATCCGGTTTTGTCTGCGTGCCACTGTGTGGCTTGCGTCGTTTATTTGGTCCATATTCCGTTTATAGACTCGCCCAGTTTAAATTCATTTGGTTTAAATTCATCCAATTTTAACTCATCAATTTGCACATTGCTTGCACGATAATGATCTCTCGCTCGTTGGACTGCCGCATATCGCAATCGATGCTCAAGTTTTTTCCAGGAGGAGCCCCCATGGGAGTCCCAGCGGGCTTCGCCGAGACCCTCCAGACCGCTGGCATACGCGCTCTGGAGCTGCTGGCCATCCGCCAGATCCTGATCTCCGCGGTGCCTCCGTGCCCTGCGGTCTGGCTGGCGTGCCCGCCCGCGAACGTCAGCTGCCCGCCGCAGGTGTGCCCTGCGCGCGCCTGCCCCCCTTCCAGCGTGCCCCGCGCCGCTGGTCAACCTCTCCTGCCCGCTGGCAGGGCTACCCCCGCCCCCCGAGGGGCTCGACGTGCCCTCGGCCCTGTGGGGGGGCCTGGCAGGGCTCTGGGCGGGCCTTGGGCTGAGCGGCGCCGCGTGGAGGCGCGGCCGCACGCCCGAGGTGGGGGCGCCTGGAGTTGGTGACCGAGCTCGGGAGCAGCTGCAGCCGTTGAGGTGCAAGCATGGCGAGAGTCGGTGATTACATTCTCCTCAGGTGCGACCTCCCAGGAGTCCCAGTGCACCACGAGAGGCTGGTCACAGGCGTCTCGCTCGGGGACCCGGGGCTGGTCAGCACGTACTCCCAATGCGGGGACCACTACGCGGAGCACGCGACCTCGGACGACCTTGTGGACGCGCGCTGGTGGGGGGCCCAGGGCGCGACCCCCGATGGGGTCAATCCAGCGCACGTCTACCGCTTCCGCCAGGTGCCCACCGCAGCGGAGGTGCAGCAGCTGATCAGTGAGGGCTCGCTCCTGGTCGGAGGTGTGGCGCCCGCTGCGGCGGCTGGCGCCGCGGCTGTCGCGCCCGCCGCGCCCGCGGGTCCGCGGGGCGTGGCCCCCGCAGGTGCGCCCGCGCCGCGGGGGCATGGCCCGGCGGGCGGCGCGCCCCGCGCAGGGGCGGCTACCGCCCCCGCTGCTGCTGGCACTGTCTGGCTCGCGACCGAGGACCATCATGTCGCTCGTCCCGCATGCGGGGGGCTTCGTCGCGGCCCGACAGGTCCGTGGCGGACGTCGACGCGTTCATGGTGGACGACCTGCGCGAGCTGCCCGTCCGCGTCAACCAGGAGGGGGCTCGGCGCCGCTTGTTCAGCGAGGCGGTGGACATCCAGGTCGGCGACGAGCCCGAGGGCGGCGTCATGTTGTCGGGACCCCGCGCCTGCGCGTGGGTGCTGAGGTCGCGGAGAGATGCCGGGCTCACGCATATCACTCACCACGCCAACTGGCTCCGCTCAGGGCGCATTCCCGACGGCGACCGCTCGGTGCACGAGCATGAGGTGCTGGCGAGGGTGCTGGACTCGATGGTCACCGCCGACCAGCTCAACGCCCCCGCGCTGCAGAGCGCTGAGCTGATCTGCCGCGGGATCCAGCTCGTCGAGGACGCGCACGCGGCGTCGCTCTCGAACCCCGACTACTCGGCCGCCGACGACTACATGGGCTGGGCCACCCACCGCCAGGGCGCCGCCGTCGCGCCCGACACGTCGCCATCGCTATGCGCGACCGAGCTGCGCGCAGGCAGTCCTCAGCCTGCAGAAGGTCACCTGTGGGGCCCTTCCGGTCTGGGGGCAGCGGCAGATCGCCAGCGCGATCTCTCCCCGTTGCCCTCGATTCAGCCGACTCCGCCGAGCTTGTCTCCAGCTTCATCGTCCACGAGGCGAAGGTTGGCACATCGGCGGCAGACGGAGCAGTGTGCCAATGATGCCATTGCTGGGCTCAACGCACTCCACCCTCCGCGTGAGCAGCGCGGGCCCCTCGCGGCGGCTCGGCGCCTAGCGACCGCCGCAATTCTCCACGAGGTCAGGCTGGCCCCAAAGTCTGACTCTCACTTCTCTCGCCGCGGGGCCGCCAAGGAGCTCCTGGCTTCCAGCCTGTCCTACACCGCGGGCGAGGCACCGAGTCCAGTAGCGCGGTGCGTCAGATCCCGCGTCGACATCCCAGAAGTGGGCGCGGCCATGCCTCCCGTCGAGTCGGTGCTCGATGAGGTCGGGGAGAGCTACGTGGTGGACTACAGGCAGACAATCATGAAGACTCCTGGCGAGTGGGCCCGTGTCCGGGACAGCGAGCCGCCCGTCACTCCGCGCATGGGTGAAGTTCTGAAGCGTGACCCAGTTGCTTATAATACCTTCATCGGCGACTTGGCGAGGGCTAACATGCTGGGCTTCACGCGCCGCCCGAAGGACCTGGTCACCCCCATCTTCGTGGCCAAGAAGAGCGGGGCCCAGCGCCTCGTCTGGGGCGCTCGCGTGTCCAATCGTCGTGTTCGTGACCCGCCGCCGCTGGCCATGGGGGCATCGGCGGCGCATGGTCGCCTTCAACTTCCCGATGATCGTGATGAGGCGGGCGGCTACAGCACCGAGCTCTTCTGCGCCCAGGCGGGCGTGCGCAACTACTTCTACGCGGTCGGCCTGAGGGGGAGATCGGACTCTTTTCTTTTCCCTGCCGCCGGTCTCCCAGGCCTCGTTGTCGCAATGGGGGGTCGAGGCAGTGGACTCTCCCGATGGGGCCGTCTGGGGGCTGGGTTTGGCCCTTTCTCCGCGTCGTCCCGATGGGGTGGTCTTGGGTTTTTCTGGCTGGGGCAGCGCGCCGACGCGCGCGTCTGCTGCTCGGCCTCGGGGCCCCGCGGGCGCTGAGCGATCGCGGTCCCGTGCCCCCTCGGGGGAGTCCCGTGCCTTTTACCTCATTGCGATGACATCAACGTGATCGGGACGGACCCAGACAGATGCAACACCACGACGCACCTCACCTGTGACGCCTGGAGGAAGCACGGCGTTGAAATCCACGAGGTGGTCGAGGATTCCGACGTGTTCACCAGCCTCGGCCGCCTGATCGACGGCTCCTCGGGGCGCGTTTTCTCGCGCCCTGGGCGCACCGAGCGCCTCCGCCAGGCCTCTTTGCGGCTAGAGCAGCGCCCCAGAGTCGCGGGCAGAGAGGTGGAGAGGCATGCGGGGCATCTGATCGATCACTTGATGTTAAAGAAGTAGCTGCTATCGATTCTCAAGAGCATGTGCGACTTCGTCGGGGATTGCCACCACGTGCGCGCCCGTCTCTGGCCTTCCGCTGCCCGCGAAGTCGAGCAGTGCCGTCGCCTGCTCCCTGTGATGTCGGCGAGCCTGCGGCTTCAGTGGTCGCCCACGGTTTTCGCCTACGACGCCTGTCTGACAGGTATGGCCGCTTGCCAGACATCCATCTCATCAGATCTTGTCAAACGCATCGGGTCCGTCAGCGAAAGGTGGAGATATCGTATGGCTTCGGCTATCTTGGCACGCCGGTCTGCTCTGGGAGTTGCGGCTGCTGAGGTGGATGAGGCCTCGGAGGGGCCGCGCGACGTCTTCACTGATGTCGAGGCCGCCCAGCCCCCCAGGCTCACCAACGAGGACCGCGTCGAGGACCCCTGGGAGCTCAACCCGCACTTCACGGAGGTGTCCGCGAGGCTCTGCAAGGCCCCAAGTGGAAGCAGGTCGTCTCGGCCAGGGTGCGCGTCAAGGAAGCCATCGCGATCGTAGAGGGGAGGGCCTCCAACATGACGTCGCGGCACATCATGAGGGCCTGGGGTTCTCCTGGGCTCCGTCACCTCCGTTTCGGGGACAACCTGGGCACCGTGCTGGCGCTCGGTCGAGGGCGCTGCTCATCTTTCCCACTCCTGCTCTGCTGCCGCCGCGAGGCGGCCTGCTCCGTCGCCGCTGCATCGAGGTTCGAGCACCGTTGGGCACCTTCAGAGCTCAACCCCGCTGATGAAGGGGTCGAGGCGCTGGGGCGCCCGGTCGGGAGGCGTCTCGCCAGCCCCGCGCGGTGACCGGGCGCCCGGCGGCCGGCCCCAGGATAGTCCAGAAGAGCTTCTTGAAGGGCAGGCCGTTCGTTGGCGCCACCAAGGAGGAGAGGGTTGCACATCGCCCCCTCGCCTCGGGCCCCTTCGCGACGGTGAGGGGGGGGCGAGCGGAGCTTCCTGGTGTGGAACGCGGTGACGCCAGAGACCCAGGCCTACTACAAGGAGGCCCTCGACGACTTCCAGGCGTTCGTCGAACTCCACGCTCTGCCGTTGTACACCGCGGCCCAGGTCGACCTAGCGCTGACGAGCTACGGCGACTACGCCTGGAGCACTGGGCTCGAGGGGGCCGTCGTCCCGAAGACGTATGCCGCCTACATCTCGGAGCACCCAAATTTTTCCCGAAAGGAGTCGCTCCGCCTGCCGCGTTTCTGTCGGGCCCTCCAGGGCTGGAGGCGCCTGGGCCCGTGCCGGACTCGCCCGCCGATGCCGTGGCAGACAGTGGCCCTCGTGGCCCTCGTGATGGCCACGCAGCTGGCTGCCCCGCGCGCAGCGCTGGTGGTGGTGACGATGTTCTGGGCCTACCTCAGGCCCTCCGAGGCCGCCGGGCCGCGCGAGCAGGACCTCTCCCCTCCTGGGGGCTCGTCGAAGGACTACGGCTTCAACCTGCGCCCCAGCGCCAGGGGCGAGAGCAGCAAGACCAGCCTCTCCGACGAGAGCCTGCTCCTCGACTCTCCCGAGGCGCCGAGGCTGGGCCCGCTGCTGGCTCGCGCCCGATCAGGGGATCCGCGCGCCCCGCTGTTCAGGCTGACGGCCGCGCAGCTCGGCCTCTTCTGGCGCCGAGCGCTGGTGCCCGCAGGAATACCGACCAAGTACGTGCTGTGCCAGCTCCGCCACGGCGGGCCGTCGCGCGACCGGCTCATGCGCCACCGCTCCATGGCAGAGATCAAGGCCCGCGGACGGTGGGCCAGCGACTACACCATGAAGAGGTACGAGGCGCACGCTATGGTACAGCAGGAGCTGGCGCCCCTCACGGACGACGTCCGCCGCCGTGCCGAAGCGGCGCCGCGCCGACTGCGCGCCGAGCTCGAGCGACTGGTGGCTCCGCTCACACGAGCGAGCACGGCCCTGCCGTCCTCGGCTCTGCGCCCCGCGCGGGCCCCGAGCACGCGCCGCCGCGCACCTTCTACAAGGGCGCGGCCGCCAGGGCACGGAAGGAGCCGTTCGTCGAGCTCATGCGCGGCTCCGCCAAACTGGCCAAGGCAGCTCATGCCGCCGGCCGGGCTGCAGAGGGCTGGGGCCGCGCAGATGGGCCGGGATCCGATCTTCTTGGTGACGGGCTCGTCGATCGCTTGATCATGAGGATCTCTCGAACGGCTGTCGCTGGAGTGCACGTCGGTCTGGGCCGTAAGACGTGGTCGAGGGCGCGGAAGAATGATGGCCTCGGCCCGCGCCCGCTAAGAGATGACATGCGCGCACATGGCCTGGGGCATCTCTCGGCGGCGGACGCTGAGAAAGTATGGCTTGGAAGACGCTTGTTAGCTAATGTTATGCGCTTGCTGGCGGCCGCCATTAAGGCAGAAACCGCCTCTTCTCTCGAGGACCCTCGATCGTCTCGCCTGCGGCTAGTCCCTGAACTTTTAGATCTGGCCCACGCGGCGAAGGCTGAATGGGCTCATGTAGATTATTGCCAGTGCAGCGCTCCCTGGAGGAAGTCGACCACGTTTCTGCTTTTCAACTGGCGGCCAGCCCAGCCGTCCCTCCGCGTTTGCTCAGGTTCTCAGAAAAGATGTAATGTCACAGGCAAGAGTCACATCGCGCTGAAGGGTAAAGAACCTCTCGGCGTGTTCTGGACAGCGAGGGCGTGCCCATGCCCTCCGGCGCTCTGCAAAGATCTTGCTGAGCTGGTGGTGACCAAAGCCAAGACGCTTTAAGGCAGTGGGTCGGGGCTCAGAGTCTTGTATCACGGTCGCTCTGTCTCGCTGGCCCGCGCTCGCTGGCGCTGGCCCGCGCTGCCCGACGTTCGCTCTCTTGAGTTGTCTCTATGCGTTGAGACGTGCCTGAGAAAATGGATTTTGGCATGGGGTAGAGCTATGATCATGCACAGTGCTTGCGCGATAATGATCTCTCGCTCGTCGGACTGCCGCATATCGCAATATATGTTCAAGTTTTTTCCAGGGCCCGCCAGCCGCCCCCATCTTCCACCTGTCTGGGCGTCACTTCGCCCCCTTACGGGGCTCCGAGTCTTGTATCGCGGTCGCTCTGTTTCGCTGGCCCGCGCTCACTGGCGCTGGCCCGCACTGCCCGACGCTCGCTCTCTTGAGTTGTCTCTATGCACTGAGGCGTACCTGAGAAAATGAACCTTGGCAGGGGGTAGAGCTCTGGTCATAAATTCATCCGGTCGTACTTCGTCTGGTTAAAATACATCCGGTTTTCATTTGCCCGGATAGAATTCATCCGGTTGTACTGCGCCCGGTTTAAAATTCATCCGGCTTGAATTCGCCCGGTTTAAATTCGCCGGTGTGAAATTCTCCCAGAGGGCGTCCCGTGTAGGAAACGGCGCATGTGCCAGAACGCCTCATTTCTGTATTCAGAACCCGGTTGAAGTCGGAAAGTAGGGTACGGGTCTGGAGTCGGGAACGCGGGAGCTGGAGTCGGAATGACAGGCGCTGGATTTTCAAAGTTGGCAACCGGAAGCGGGAAATGGGAGACGGAACCAGAGAGACGGACGTCGGAGTCGGAAAGTTGGGAGCTGAAATCGGGGAGATGGGAGTTGGGGTCGGAAAGGTGGGTGTCGGATTCGAAAAATTAATTTGGAGACTGAGTCGGAGAGTTCGGAGCTGGAGTCGGAGAGTTCGGAGCTGGAATCGGTCGGGAGCCGGAGTCGGGGAGACGGGCGTCGGGGTCGGAAAATTGAAAGTTGGATTCGGAGAGATGGGAGCTGGGGTCGGAAAGTTGGGTGTCGGAGTCGAAAAATGAGGAGACTGAGTCGGAGAGTTGGCAACTGGAATCGGAGAAATGGGAGCTGGAATCGGATAAGCGCCGGAGTCGACGAGCGCCGGAGTCGGAATGTTCGGGGTTGGAACCAGAAAATTGTCAGCGGAGGATGGCAAAATGGGAAATGGAAATAATAAGGGGGACCACAATAAGCGCCATTTTGAACGACGGGAGCACAGCGCCTATCCGAGAAGGAGGCCCACGCTGTAGCGGCAGCACCATTTTGAAACGCAGGAAACAATCGGATTGCACAGCAAAACGTAAAACAACAGCAGTTGTTGACATCTTCCGTGTAAAACACAGTTGGCGGGGTGGGAGATCTTCCGCAAAAGTTCCGTGGAGGAAGGAGAATCGCACCCTTGGTTTGAGTGTGGAGGAGGAAAAGGAGGAGGAACAACGAGAAAAGGAAGATAAAGAGGACGAGGGGGAGCAGAGCGAGCACAATGGTCAAAGGCCTCTTGGCTGCCTGTCGGCGTCACTTCGGATTTTGTCCTCCAGTTTCGGCTCGTCCGGTGTTCATTCGCCCGGGTTAACTTTATTTTGTTTTACTTCGCGCGTGCATCGCCTATGCGTCGCGCGTGCGTCGGCGTTGCGTCGGCCATTCGTTGCGATTTCCCGACCCCATCAGCTAGAACCCCATGTTGGATGACCCGAATTGACAGCAACACTTGTGTATTTCAGGCGGCTGAAGTGTCTGACCTGAAGAGCTTCGAGAACAACGGTTCAAGTTTGATATTAAAGCACCCCTGTACAGCATGCATCCCCGGACCCATGGGAACATCCTGGAAGTTAGAATAAACAGAAAAGCTCTTCAAATCCAGTCCTGAGTTTAAACCGGGCGAATTCAAACCTGGTGAAAATAAACCGGGCAAATTGAAGCCGGATGAATTCAAATAGGTGCGCGTGACAAGCGTTTTACGCAATTGCGTTGCTCAAAATTATTTTCGTTTTCCTTGTCCAGCTCCCATCTCTCCGAGTCCAGCTCACAATTGTCCGATTCCGACGCCCGTCTCTCGAACTGCGTCTCTCAATTTCCCGCTTCCGGCTGCCAACTTTCAGAATCCAGCGCCCGTCATTCCGACTCCAGCTCCCACGTTTCCGACTCCAGCTCCCTATTTTCCGATTTCGGCCAAGTTCCGAGTTCAGAATTGCGGCGCCCTGGCGCACCAGCCGTTCCCTACACGGGACGTTCTCTGGGCGACATCGGCGCCGCTCCGCTCTGCTCCGGTCCGCTCCGCTCTCCCCTGGTCCTCCTGTTCGTCCCGCTCCTTCCACCCCAATTCCTGTTGCTGCTTCTTCTCGTCTGGCTTCAGCGCGGGCCACGTTTCTGAATCCGAATTGTCTTCATCATTGTCGCTCCCCTCCTTTCCCCTCCTCCGCCTTTCCCTGGTCCTCTAATTCCTCTCTATCCTTCCGCTTTTGTTCCTGCTGCTGATTTTCGTCCTCATCCTCCTCTTCCCTGTCCTCCTCCTCCTCACCCGCCTCCCCCTCGTGGGCATGCAGTTCCCGTTCGTCCGATTACGCACAACGCGGATATTCCCGGAAAGGGCGCGGGCCCAGGGTTCTCTTTTAGTATTGTTTTGTTTCCTCCGGTTTCGACCGGCACAAATATTTGCGAGAGATAACGAGATAAAGTACCATTCGGCGTGAACAATTGAGGGCGCCCTTAGTGAGACAATGGTTTTTTAAATCCCGATCGATAAATCACAGGGTGCGGGGCACATTTGGGTCAGGGGCACGACTCCCTGTGTTATTGCGTATGTTCCTATATATTGGCCCTCTCCAGGAGGCCCCATGCAGGAGGTCCCAGGTCACCCAAAGGGGTATCCAACATGGTTGTCCCGAGCTGGAACCGCGTGTTTTCATTTGTCCAGGCCACCCAGGGGGGTATCTAACATGATTGCCCCGAACTGGAACTTTGCGTTTTTACGTGTCCAGGCCACCCAGGAAGTGATCTAACACCATTGTCCCGAGGAAGGACCGCGTGTTTCAACCATCCAGGCCACTCTGGAGTATATCTCACATGGTTGTCCCGAGCTGGCACCACGTGTTTTTACGTGTCCAGGCCACACCGCGGGGGATCTAACATGGTTGTCCCGAGCAAGGACCACGTGCTTTAACGTTCCCAGCCCTCGCAGGGGTGTGTCTAATATGATTTTCCCGAGCTGGCACCATATGTTTTTACGTGTCCAGGCCACACCTGGGGGTATCTAACATGGCTGTCCCGAGCAAGGACCACGTGTTTTAACGTGTCCAGGCCACCCAGGGGTGTATCTGACACGGTTGCCCAGAGCTGGATCCCTGTGTTTTCACGTGTCCAGGCCACTTAGTGGGGTATCTAAAATGATTGCCCCGAACTGGAACCACGTGTTTTTCCGTGTCCAGGCTACCCAGGGGGGTATCTAACATGACGTCGGGCCTAACGTTGAATTATCAGGAAACGTTTGGGAGCCCAAAAGCGCTACCCGAACACATATCCCAATACTGAAAAGGTTAGGTTTTCTTGCTCTTGACGGGGGGTGGCGCTTGAAGGGGCCTCTCAAGGGAAGACATTGCAAGGATGTCTCGAGCGGGAGCGCGAATTCAGCGTATCCAGGCCACGCAGGGGGGTATCTAACATGCCTGTCCCAAGCTGGAGCCATGTGTTTGTACATGTCCAGGCCACCCAAGGGGATATCTACCAAGGTTGCCCCGAGCTGGAAGCACGCGTTTTTACGTGTCCAGGCCACCTAGGGGGGTATCTAACATGTTTGTCCCGAGCTGGAACAATGTGTTTTGATATCTAACATGGTTGTCCCGAGCTTGAACCACGTGTTTTTCCCGGAAATGGCGTGGGCCCAGGATTCTCTTTTAGTAGTGTTTTTTTTTCGATTTCGGCCAGCGAAATCAGTTGTGCTAAATAACGAGGTTAAATCTCATTCGGCGTGGAACATGTGAGGATGTCCCTGGCGGAACGCTTGGTTTTGAAATCCCGACCGATAAATCACAAGGTGCGGGACACATTTTAATCGAAAAAGTCCATCCCGTGCGAGCTGGAACCATGTGTTTTCACATGTCCAGGCCACCCAGGGGGTATCTAACATGGTGGTCCCGAGCTGGAACCACGTGCTTTGGTGGTGAGTCCAGGCAACACAGGTGGGGTATTTCACATGGTGGCCCCGAGCTGGAACCATGTGTTTTCACGTGTCCAGGCCACCCAGGTGGGTATCGAACATGGTGGTCTCGAGCTGGTACCATGTATTTTGAACGTTTGCAGGCCACAGGGGTGTATCTGACATGGTGTTCCCGAGCTGGTTGTCCCGAGCTGGAAACACGTGTTTTGACATTCCCCGGCCACCTAGGGGGGATATCTAAGATGGTAGCCCCGAGCTGGAACCCAGGGGGGGGTATCTAACATGGTTGCCCCGAGCTGGAACCATGTTTTTGTAAGTGTCCAGGCCACCCAGGGGGATATCTAATTTGGTCGTCCCGAGCTTGAACCACGTGTTTTCACGTGTCAAGGCCACACAGGAGGGTATCTAACATGACTGTCCCCAGCAATAATCACGTGTTTTAACGTGTCCAGGCTACCCCCGGGTGTATCTAACATGGTTGTCCCGAGCAAGGACCACGTGTTTTAACGTGTCCAGGCCACCCAGGGGTGTATCTAACATGGTTGCCCCGAACTGGAACCACGTGCTTTCACGTGTCCAGGCCACCCGAGGGGTATCTAATATGATTGTCGCGAGTTGGAACTACGTGGTTTTACGTGTCCAGGCCGCACAGGGGAGTATTTGGCATGGCGGAACCAGGTGCTTTAACGTGTCCAGGCCACCCAGGGGGTATCCAACATGGGCTTCCTGTTCTGTATTGGGATATGTGCTCGGGGAGCGCTTTTCGCTTCCCTCCAGCCCCCAGGAGGCTCGAGAAGCGTGAGAACACATCGGATCCTAACGCC